GGGCTCTTCACTACACGATAACTGATATCGCGCTCCCACTCCTCCTCCTTAGTATCTTCCTGCCTGCATATCTCACCTTTTGCCCAAATGCCATCAATTACTCCTGCGAAGTTGAGGATGTGGTTCTTGAATCCCCAGGAGTACTCGTCAGTTGCCCGCAGGTGGATCCTGAATGACTCATTATGTTTGCATTCGATGTATTTTGTGGCTACTCGTGAGTCTTGATTGTCTGCTTTTGATGGATCATCATACTCTTTTGCGGTGCGGCCATTGGTGAAGATAGTGACCTCCAGGCCTGGTAGCCCTCGGATAATCGCCATTCTCAGAGCTCAGCCTCAAAACAATTATGCATCAGCTCGAGATTGGGTGTATGTAGTAAGTGTCACTTAGTTTTCATGGACGTGAAGCTTGGTGTAGCTTCTAATTAATGCGGAAAGCAGTAGCAGCCTAATGTTTAAAGTTGGGTAGCTGTAGTATGGTAAGAGCGGCCTGTCTTATTGTAGAGCTGAAGAATTGAAACGGTGCAGGTATGTGTGAATTTACGCCTTGAGGTTAGCTTTTGATTGCATCACGTATTGGATTTTCGTAGAAGAACGCTCCTTAGAGGTGTGAGGATGCAGCAGGTTGGAATATTATGCGGAGGATTCTGATGGCATTTGGGAACAGCGTACATCTGCTTCTTCAGAATCAAGGATGCCTAAAATTATTCTTGATTATTCTCGTCGTATTATCTTGGGTGGGTGGATTTGGGGAACTGTGGAAAGACTGTGGGCAAGTGCATCTATATGTTGGAATACATGAATCAAATTGTAGGTGGATTATGTCCCTGACGTAATAGGAAGTGACGGTGTCCTTGTTGAATAAACAGAATGTAATTTTAATCGTAGGAGTTGTCTCGATGCCTTGATTACATGAAGAATACCACCCTGAGTGAAAAGAAAGTTGTTGGTCAAGGAAAGTACGCAGCAAGAGAGATTCCGGTACAAACGATTACCAGGCATCAAATGCACTAAACGGCTAAATCCTGTGGCAGCAAAGATGTAGCAGAGATTGCATCAAGGTTGCCTGTATTTGTGACGAAGTAGAAAAATATAGAAGCTACACAAGTGATTTCTCTTTGCTAGTTAGGACTATAGGCTCCTGAGTTCCAAGCTCGCTTTGAGTGAGCCTTCTTGCTAACTTCAGCCTTAAGAAAATCGACGGGTCCTCGAGGACGACGTAAGATGCTGTAGTATATTGTCGCGTGTCTCTAGCTGTAAAATAATTGGTATACACTGTTGCTAGCAGGGTATTCCAGGAAACCCAGTCTCCTTTGATCAATCTTAAGTCAAAAATCTCCAATAAGATGCGAGGTAGATATCTGGGCAAGGAGGGTGTGTCTGTAAATATAGAGATTGACTAAGTAGCAAATATTCTACTTATACAAACACCAAGGATTTAACGCCAAAGAAACGGGGACATTCCGCAAGTATCCTTGCCCAATACGACTCCAATGTTACCCACGATCGCATTCTTATTCGGCACAGTATCTTGATCCTTAAATAAGTGTATTATGATTCAAATAGTGCGCTAACCTGTTATCAAATTCCTATTCACTCTCTGTCGGGTACATCCAGCATTCGATATCTTTAGAAATTTAATTTCATGATATTTGGAACAGGCATAGCAATGATCAAAAGTCGAATTTTGGATCAAGACGTTGGCCAGATACGCGAATGCTACACCGTCGACACACTTCCGAACAAACGCAATGCAACTCTCTTATTCTTCCGAGAAATAATTGTCGCCCGCGGCCGTTTACCTTCACTCCGAATTTCAATTAGGAATTTGTCGCGAGGTATATCGGCTTAGCTCCTCCTCTTTCTCAGCTACGTATCTAAGTACTTAGTAGTCATCTCGGCTCTACGGGGCCGACGACTTTAACGCAATCCGGTATAGCACCCGGCATCTAGAGAACCATATTCAACATTAGGGCCGAGACTACCTTCGACTATCCGGCTCAGTGGAGTGCCGAAGTCTTTAGTACGAAGTTCAAATCAGCATGGAAATACTAGTGCTTGGTGATATCCTCGTACCACAGGATCGATCCCAGGGCATGCTTCGCCGAGGGCGCGATGTAGAAGGCCTGGGGAAACTTTAACATTAATGACACACCTGCTATCCCCATTGTGGATGCCATTGGGAAAATTACGAAAACGCATATGTCCCCGTCAGCAGGAATGACACCCTTATTGAGAGGCTTCGGTTTGCGCACCGCAACCCCATTCACATAAATTTGAACGCTGCCTTGGGGGACCTCCTACACCGGCTCTTTTTTGCCTTACGCCTTCCACCGGTGATTGGATAGCAATTGAAGACGTAAAAACAGTTTCAAGCTTTGATGCTGTCTAGTTTATTTTGGGTGATCATCTAGCTAGGATCAACGAAATCTTCATTGACATCGTTAGACTATAACCACGCAGTCGCGACAAAGGAGTAAGGGGGGCTAGCCCCTCAATATGTACAAGAGTTCCTCGATTAGAAAGATTCTAACCCAATACTCACCTAAATACTTCGACGATCAACATCCTGTGTTTGCTTCTCCTCTCCATTCCATGCTGACTGCCCGTAGCCCAAACTATCGAACACAGGAGGCAAAAAATTGAAATAGACCCATAACGTCATTATGTGACACTGCCAAGCGTGGATACAGGTTTCTTTCGAGTCGTTGGCCGCGTTAGTAATTGTACTTCTGCCAGGGTGCGCTCGAAGAGGATGCAATGAATATACGCCGGCCAGGCGTGCACAACATGTTACAATATTGATACAACATGGATATATTTATAGACATAGAACAGGACAACTATATTATACGTTATCACGTTCGAATTCTAATATCCCATATCACGTTCTGTGACCGTGGTCTTTTGTTTTGAAGTGCATCTCGGGTCTGTGCTCTTGGGTAGATTACAACATTAGACTCTACAATGGTAATAAGTCGAGAAGGATTCGTTTGGAGCAGGGGAGTTCCCTCCGGTACGCTTGCAACATTGCCTGCCGGAATCACATCAGATCATGTATGTATGCAAGGCGTTACACTAACGCTGAAAGGGCTGTCTGACAGGATCCCAAGGCTGCAGATCGTTCAGCTTATGACATACGGGATCGTGTTTAACATAATAAATATTCTGTCTCTGCGCAGTTGTTTCATGGCAACAAGTTTAACAGTTGAAGTTGTGCTGCAACCGTTCAAGATCTGCGAAGATAACTATGGAAGTCGGGTTAGAGTGCAACTCCTTCAAAACTAATATCATGTTATTCTCCAGTAAGCGCCGTCATCTGGCCGACGCCTCTTACGACAAGACAGAACCAGAGTAGATTCTGAATTCAAGGGACATTACTTTGTCGATGAAGACCGAGAAAGATTGAGAGTTAGGTGGTTGGGACGCAAAGTATAAAGCCATGCCTTCTCTCTCCTCTGGTCCTGACGACGCTCCTCAGACACACTTCGCATACTGCATCAAACAACCGTTCTATCCATAACACATCTCGCAACATCCACAATCCAAAATGAAGACCATCATTGCCATCACAGCCCTTTTCGCCTCTATCGTGGCCGCATCTCCTGCCAGCAATGGGAACATTCCCGCCTACGACCCCCGAGACATCACGCCTGACGGACTCTGGAAGCGCTGGTGTGATGGCTCGCCAGTCGAGGACCCTATCTGCCCACATGGGGCCTTCTGGGTAAGGCCATGATCTTCGCCGTTATCTGGATATCAACCAACTAACTAATTTCTCTTCATTCAGTGTGGACCTGCCGACGGCCCCGGCCAGTGCATCCCGTGCGGTTCGAATTGCTAGGAAACTACGCTGAACCGTGAGTAACCAAAAGGTACGTGAGTAACCAAAAGGTACGTGAGTAACCAAAAGGTACGTGATGTATCAGTGTAGCCTATAGTCTAGATTCGTTGCTAACGTGTGCAAAGAAGGGGCAGCGATGTTGGTGATTGGACGACTGTTATTCTCCCGGCTGCGAGGACGCTTGCTGCCGGGGTGTTTCTACCTGATTATTCTCTTCCTGTTGCTTAATAGCCTGTTGGACTAGCCACTCGTTTAGCTCCAAAAATACATACATCTTGAGGCCTACAAACTTGTTTAATGACTTGACTGTAATCTTCTGTAGCATAAATTCACGGTACTAGCTATTTGAGTAACCTACAGATCCGCAAAATGTACATTGAGAGACTTAGATGAGCTATACTTAGGCGCATTATCTATAAACGCTCTGAGTGTTCTGCCTGACTCTACACGGGGTATTAGACTAAACTTTGACATCAGCGCAGTTAAATTCTAGTAAAAGGCGAACGTGTAGCACTGTGAGCAAAAGCTACAAGGTCATGGGGTTGGTTACATGTTCAACTCAAAGGAGACAAAGCCATATATGACTGGGTATGCCTACTTCTTCTGTGAACAAGACTTGGCCCCCTTATTAACATGACATCTTGAAGTACGGGAATATAGAGGGATGCCCCATGAAACGCATATTTTAGACTATCCGCCATGCCGCTTTGTAGATTATATCTCGCGGTGGTCACTAGTTTTGGTACTTCGTATATCAGACAGGGTAACGGATTACCTCACTGAAGTAGTCCATGGGCTAGTATTGGCAAATTTCACACCGAAGGTTGAAAACCAGGTAGATAGGGCAACTATTTATAGATTAAGGTCAGGTAAATGGCGTTTCCTTTCTAAAATGCACTCAATGAGATGTTGTGATCAAGTCTTGCGAAAGCAGTCAGTCCATAGTTTCAGCAACCACGTGCGTGCTAATCGACGCACAGACCTTGCGCTATGTGTGCGAGAGAATTACCCACTAACACTTTAAGTATATAAGCTGAAAGAAAAAGGGGAAAGGATTTTGAAAAAAAAGAAAAAAAATTCGAAGAAAAAAATAAAAGGAAAAGAAAAAAAAAAATTGGGTTGCTGCTCCTAGTTCAACTAGGAGGCATCAGGAATTGAGCCCGATGCGGGGGTCGAACCTGCCAAGGCTGTCAGTATTTTGGCCGAGTATATTCGTGGCGTTTTGAATATGTACTCACCCGCAACCTTGAGATTAAGAGTCTCACGCTCTACCGATTGAGCTAACCGGGCGTTGATTTGTTGGTGATCCCGTGCTGCGGGATATTCGCTTATGATTCCGTCCTGTTGGGTGTGGTGGGTTGGATCCCAGATAACGAAAGACTGGGGCTTCGTTAAGAAATTTTGCCTTGCTAGTCAGTCTAGTAGGGATGAATAAAGGAATACTAGCTATGTTTTTTTCCCAGACAAATTTTTAATCGGAGTTGTCCGTAGGTATGTGAAAGCCACAGAGGCTAAGCGACTATTTCGACGCGCTAAGAGACTTTGTATATTGGATCTATTAGACTCGATACCATGACAAAAACGTATACTCGGTACCGCGGGCTCGTTACCGGTCGTGGGAGGATTCGTTAGTCCAGTCACCATGCGTAGCGAGAGCATGGTTTGGAAATGGAGATCTGGGGTCACCTGGCCGTTGGTGAACTTTCCAGATAGGCTAGTGACATGGTACTGTAGGACCCATTTCCTGTGACAGATTCTGTCCTAAACGAAATTAAATAGTTTTGTCAAATCGATGAGTACTACACGTAGCAGACGTCATAGCCGTACAGCAGACAGGCAGCCCGATCCAATCCAAGGTTACTTGCTTAGCCTAGAGGCGGCTCTTTAAACGTTTTCGAGCGAATCTCTCGGCGTGTTACCGCAATTGGGTACTATTACGCTATACTACACAGTACTGGCGTGAAGCAGACAGGCCTTGGGTTACATATAGATTAGAACCATGACACTATCTGACTAGTGCAGACAAGCCTTGGTCTGTGTGTAGGGCCCCGTCGGATCTTACGGGAGTTCCCGACCTTGGACCTAAGTAAGTAGGATATGTAATAGAAGTCTAGTACTACCTAAAATACCTACTTACACGAAAGACAGATGACGCCAAGCTAGCTTAGCCACGGCTACCGAGCCGACAGCAACGGGCGTTATCATGTCAAATTGAACCACCGTCTTACCAGCTCCTACAGCGCAGTTCCATCAGCTGAAAAAAAGGACCGCACCATGTGCTAGTAATTCCTGGCTTCGCTCGTAATCAGCCGCGCAGGGGAACAAGTAACTGGCCAGTAATAAGCAGTTCTCGCAGCAGAGGGTGGCATGTTGAGCCAAGCCTGAGCCGCAACGACACATAACACCCATAGCAAATTTCGGATCGATATAGTGTAGCGTATATTCATCCACGTTGCCTTTGACCTTTATGAGAATGGCGTGCAGCCCCTTTATGGGGCTTCAACATTCATTGACGTGGTGTTGTTTTTGACTTCTGACTTGGTTCTTGGTATCTCGCCTTGCTGACTGTTTTCCAGAAGCATACCCTGTCGAAGGATCGCCTCAGGGGGGCGACTAGTACTAATCATAGTAGCAATCTTGACAAATCATAATTGACATGTGGTTGAATAAACTGAGAATGAATCCGTAATCAGGCAAGACGAATTCCATTAAAGTAACAATCTAGTATAGGTGTGAAAAGTGGAAATTGGGGTGGTTTGCCTGGTTGTATGTATGTATCTTGTTCTCGCTGTGTTGTCGTAGTTGAACCAATTTCTACTCTCTTTGTGAACACACCATAGTATATTGATCGTCATCAACTTGGGACTACGATAATGTGGCAGAATCCAAAACAAACCGAGAACAAAAGGGAGGCACCTGGGACTAGCACAATGAGGCGATTGCATCCAAACGGAGCGGCACCGCGCCCGGTTAGTTGGAGTGCTATTCCAGCTGACGATCCGGCAGCGCATGAGCAAATGATTAAGTTCGTCTCTGAGTCGATTGTGTGCGATATCCAAGGCAATATCAGCAGTGGATTTATGAGACAAGTACAGGCTTCTAAGAAGAGTGCCATGTCCCCTCACGACAAAGCAGAGCGGATGCGCATAATTCGCAATATGCGGACGACACTGGAGCGCCTCACGGAGGAGTTGGGTCAGAAGTTTTTCGAGGAATTCCGCCAGAGACCGGCGGTTGGCCGTTGGTACGACTCATGGCTGTCTAACGAGACACCGCAATTCCTACGTTGGGAACAGGAATGGGCCCTCACGCCCGAGGAGAGTTTGGCTGCCGTCGACGCGCGTAGTCTTAGCGGCAGTATGGACGGGCGTGTATTTGGTTCTGAAACCACACCCGAAGTCAGAGTGGAGGAGTTTGAAGAAGACCTCGAAGAGTTCGAAGATACCCAATCGTTGACACCAATTCCCGAGTACAGACCGGATGCACCGGTAACTGAGGTGAGTCTTGCGTGTCGGCCACGAGGCCTGCATACATACTGCCAAGCAACGGTTTGACTAACGTAAATCTTAATAGACAAAAACAGATGGCCCTGCGCCATCCTCTCTCGGCTGCCGGTGCGAAAATGGGCATGAAGATTCTGACTCAGAGCATCCTCATCTCTGCCAGTCGTGTGCCTGCAGCAACCAGGGGTATGGTTGCATTGCTTCTTGTGGTTGTGACGAGACATGCAAAAACAACTTTAACAACATCGCGCTCGATAATATTCTGGGCGTTGGTGTTAAACTTGACTCCTGTTTTATCGCCTACTTACAAAAGCATAACCAAGACGAAAATCTCACGCTTGATTATCTCTTTGACCATCTTCTGACAGGTCTGGACTACGTACCGGATGGCAACGACAAGGCAATTGACGCGTGGCGGATGAAATGGGAGACAAGCTATAGTGGGCCGGATCCAGAAGCCCAAATAGAAAAGCTCCAACGCGAACTACTGCGCCTCGGCCTCGGACTCGGCGATAAGAAGGGCGAGTGGTTCTTCTCGTTCTGTTACAGCAACAGTGACCGGATCGGAAGCTGGCAGCAGGGCCACCAGATATGGCACTGCAGAGACTGCGGGAGCTGCAGTGAACAGCAAGAGTGGCACTGCGGGAACTGTAACAAATGCACGTATGGGACCGCTATCCCCTGTGGTGGATGTGGAGGAGTCTCGGATTCGTACCACGAAGAACACAAGAAGAGCGCGGGCGGTAACTGGATTTAAGCCGTCATCGTCAAAGCTGGCTTGACCTTGTGAGGATTGGCGAGAGCGGGAATAGAGCTGAGGACAGGATCGCCGAGGAACATGTCTGGGCAGACATTGCGAGTGCCGCCCTTTAGTCCCGGACAACACGACGATATCGGGGCTCGATGCCCAGGAACAGGCATATGACCATGAGGTTTGTTTGTATATATAATTAGCATGCGGCCCACACTCCTTGATACATTTTCCTTTCAGCGTCAATTATGGATTAGAACATTGAAGCGGGTTGACTTGGGAAGCCGAGGGTCTTCTGTATAGCGCAGGTGCATAGGGGAGGAGTCTAGTGTCGAATGGCTTTTGCTGGAAGGATGGAAAGGCAGGTACTCAGTTGTCATTATTTGTCGTATAAACGAATACATTTCTTTTCACGATGCATCTCGCCTTCATTCAAGTGTGAATACCGAGGTCAAGTGTGCAGTCCAGGTAGACACAGATGGAGTATGAAAAGCAGCTTTCACCACTACCACGCCTTGATGTCATGAAGGCGATGAACATTATAGATTGCCAGGTCGGTAGTAAATAGTTCTATAGTGAAGGTGTTGACAATACAGTATAGGTATTCTTCATCGTCAATTGAAGGACGAGGACGAGGACGAGTAGATTGATTGATCCAAGGTCGGCATGTGGGGCTAGACACTATTGATTGGGGTGGTGTATGTACCTACATGTCTACCACTAAGGCTAAGGTAGGGACCTAAGTAAAGTGTGGGTGTTAGCTACCTATGCAGCCCCCACCAACGTCTGTACTGTCCTTAGGTTGTAGCGTACCACAGCTACAGCTCCCCTATAGCATTCAGCAAGAGGTAGGGTAGGTAGGTACCTGCCTACATGTACTCCTTCCTGGATGGGCAATTATCACCCTGCACTGAATGGAGCTATGGACTCGACTCGTCAGCACCATACAACTTGGAGTATTACTACGTCAACCCGAGCCTTGCGAATATTCGCATTCGTCTCTCATGGATCGACAGACATTGGCATTGCCAGTTGAAAAGCGCCAATTTTCCATCTCGTGTCTAATAACTAAAATAACTAGATGATACCCTTTAGGACAAGTCATCACCTTTAACCAACATCGAATAGGAGGCGGCTATCACGGCTCCGTGCTCGAGTCTGGACCCCCTCCGACCTTCGACCTCGACCAGGACCAAGACCCGAGATCAGCACCACGACCGACCTTAGACTAAATAGACAGAGCTTACGCACAGTATTGCATCACTCCAGGAGCTCTCCGCGACGAAGCCATCATTATCACCATCACCATCACCATCACGACCACAATCACGACCACAATCACGACCACAATCACGACCACAATCACGACCACAATCACGACTACAATCACGACCACACAAATCCACCTCCGCTGTGACGTTCTCGTCCAGTGCCATCGTGCTGCGAGCGCGGTCCCTTTCTTCCCAGGTTCAGGCATCGGCGACAATGAGGTCACGTTCATGATCCCTCTCCTTCGTCTGAAGGAGTGCCACCATGCCGCCCGACGCACGCTCCACCAACATCCGCGTCTTCATAAAATGGGATGACCAGACCGTGTTTGCCGGTGAGGACATCCGGTGCCAGATCACCTTCAAGAATGTTGCCGCTGGCCCCGGTCAGCTCGCCACCACCCCTCGCCAGCCCTCGCAGCCGTCCCCGAGAGCCGACCGAGTGAGACAGCCTTCGCCGTTGAGCCCTCGAGGGGGCCTGGGGTCTAGCAACGGCTTGACACCGCCCGGGTCCGCTCGAAGCCACCGCTCGACGCTGTCTCTCAACGTGCCCGCCACGAGCTCACGGCTGAGGAACAGCATCCAGCAATGGCCTCCTCCTCCTCCCCAGCCGCCCCCGCCCACGCAGCCATCCGGCCACGCCCATAAACGGTCCCTTTCCATCGTGTCCATGGGCTCCAATGCCACCGCCGACGACCAAGTCTATAGTAATGGCTCACAAACGAGGCCCCAACGCCCTAGTCGTGGCCACGGCCGATCTGCTAGCCT